CTGAGGCAGGAGAATGGCTTGAACACGGGAGGTGGAGGTTGCAGTGAGCCGAGATCATGCCATTGCACTCCAGCCTGGGCAACAGGGCGAGACTCCATCTCAAAAAAAAATAATAAATTAAAAAATAATAATAATACATTTAAGCTTATTTTTATATTTTACAGAGAGGTTATATATTTTGGTCATGTTTAATCAATGTGCTCATTTACAAAGTTTCCATGCTTGTGAAAGAGGTTCTTCTTAGAAACAAATGCTTGTTCCTCAGTGCTGAAAAGAAAGAGTGCTCAGATAAAGAATTTTCTCAGCAAGACAATTGTCACTTCCATAGAAGGGTGCAACTGGTGGATGGAGCAATGGCAAGAGCACACCTGAACGAGGGAGGGGAAGGGGTTCTTATTCCTGATGCAGGTAGATCCTACTCCTGTGTCATTCCCCTGTTGGCTAGGGTTGGACTGCACAGTCTAAGCTAATTCCGATTGGCTATTTTAAAGACAGCAGGGGTACGAGTCAGAGTGGTGGGGTGAGTAGTTTGGCACGAAGGGTGGTTACAGAACAGGTAACTCAGGATGTGTCAGGACAGAGCAGGTGACGAGGGGAACAGATGTGAACTACTGATTAGAATGAGCAGGAAAGTTGTTTACTGAAACTAGAGGGAAGGGGGCGAAGACAACCAAGAAGTTAAACTTTAAAATAGAGAACAGAGAATAAGAGAGTTGAACATACTGACATACTGATTCTTTGAAGAGAAGCTGGGAGTTCACGATATCTAACATTCTTTTCAAGCATGTTGCTTTCTATGCCTATTATTAAATATTTTATTGTCACTTTGACTAACTAGGTAACCAGGCATTGTTTCTCAGGCACCCATGATTCTCTCTTAACCAAAAGTGAAAATCCCCTTTAATAAACACTTGATTTTTGCCTTCCCCAAATAAGATTCTAATTATAAGAAAGAAATATATTAAAATCTCAGGATATATTTTACACCTAAAACATCTTTGAGATTTATCAGCGGGCTCCTAAAAAAAAAGCACAAAAATGTGGTCTTTCAACTTATGAGAAGAGGAGGCTGGAAATAATTTGGTCTACTTACTGCTGTTTCATGGGAAGAATTGTC